TAGCAGCGGGCCTTGACTTTCCCGAGCAACAGTCTTATTTAGTGCCGTTCTGGTGCAGTTCCTTTTTTAAAGACTACCGGGCCCTGTAAAAAAAAAAAGTCCCCAAAATTCTGAGAAATCCTCCGAAGGAGTCCACGAGATTTTCTTGGACACTACCAGACCCTAAAATGTCTCTGAGGTCGTTCGATGCGTATAAATGCTAACTAACATGCTACTCAACACATTATGAAACACCAACGGCCTAACAAAAGCTAACAGCTAACGGTAACACCCCAGTCAGCAGCCGATAATCTTCTAAATCCGTCAGTTACACGATTAGGGAGAAAATGGTTAATTTCGACGATAATATTCCCAATGGAAATGCAAGTAATTCAGATGATTTTTCGGTTTAAATCCATAAATCCATCTCGTTGATCCGTGTTGCTCGTCTCCTCGCTGTTTCATCAAAATGGCGCTGGACGGAACCGGATGTATGCGGTATTTTGTTGTGGCGGAAGTCAGAATTTAGTTCTGTGAATGATGTCACACATTTTCTACTTAACCAAATAAATATGTTGTTTCCCATTGCTTATCAATGAAGCTCAAATGGGGAAAAAAGTCCTCAAAAAAGTGGAAACTCCTTACGTTTGAATTCTCAAAACACGTTGGGAGTGACTGGGCAAGAAAAGGAAACCAGAAGATTAAGAAGAAAGTAAACTTATAATATCCTACCCCTTCTCAAGAAAATCAAGCGAAATGAAATAAAATACAACCGAATAATCTACCAGGACGTGGATATTTTTGTATATGAAGACAGCAAAAGGAGCATGTATGGGAAATAATGTCTGAAAAAAAGAGGAAAACTAAGACTTCCATATTTTGGGGGGATAGGAAAGTGCAAAATTGAACAATCACCCATTAAAAATTTGTGCGAACCAATGGACCCTAAAACAATATCTCAGTTCTGCTATTCTTTACATATACATTTATGTATTTGACTGCTAACATTTTTCTATATTTATACATTTGCATGTATAAATATAGGAAAATGTTGACTGTTAACATTTTCCTTGTAAATATAGGAAAATGTTAGGAGTTAAGTTTTTCTGATTATCCTGCAGTATCACAGACTTTGAGAACTCAAGCCCTCCTGTTGTCATGACTCTCTGTGAAACTGACATTTTAAATGATTTCAAATGACTTTTGGGCTCAGTATTGTTTTTCGCCAACTGACTCAAACAAACACAAACTCAATGTGTAGACAGTCCAGAGCTACTGCTTAGTAGTGCATCTCATTTCATTGCCTCCTGATACTAAAATGTACAGCAAGTCCTCTGAAGCTGTTCCTCTTTGTGTGCTGTAACTATCAAATCAAATCTAATCAAATTTTAATTGTATAGCACATTTTAGCAACAAGGCATTTCAAAGTGCTTTACATCATAAACACAAAAACACAAAGTCGTGCATCATAGAATAAACAATATATTGTTACATATTAGCCTACATTTGAAATATAATTCTAAACAGGTGTGTTTTTAGTTGAGATTTAAAGGAAGTCAGGGTTTCTGCTGTTTTACAGTTTTCTGGAAGTTTGTTCCAAATTTTTGGTGCATAGATGCTGAAAGCTGCTTCTCCTCTCTTGATTCTGGTTCTGGGGATGCAGAGCAGAACCAGAACCAGAACCTGAGGGGTTCTGGAAGGTTGATACAACAACAGCAGATCTTTGATGTATTGTGGTGTTAAACCGTTCAGTGATTTATAAACTAACAACAGTATTTTAAAATCTATTCTTTTGTCTTCAGAACTGACTCAATCCTTTGTGGCATAGATTGAACGAGGTACTGGAAATATTCCTCAGAGTCTGGTTTATATTAACATGATAGCATCAGTTGCATATTTGTTGACTGCACATCCAGGATGTGAATGTCCCATTCCACCACATTCCAAAGGTTTTCTATTGGATTTAGATCTGGTGACTGTGAAGGCCATTCAAGTACAGTGAACTCATTGTCATGTTCAAGAAACCGGTCTGAGATAATTTGTGCTTTATGACATGGCTACTTCCATCCGACTGAAGTAGCCATCAGAAAATGGGTACACTGCAGTCACAAAGAGATGGACATGGTCAGCTACAATACTCAGGTAAGCTGTGGCGTTGACTTAATGACCAATGGGCCCAAAGTGTGCTAGGAAAATATCCCCCACCCTGTACACCACCACCAGCAGCCTGAACCGTTGATACAAGGCAGGATGGATCCATGATGTCATGTTGTTGATGCCAAATTCTGACTCTACTATGTGAATGTTGCAGCAGAAATCAAGACTCATCAAACCAGGCAACGTCTTCCAATCTTATACTGTCTAATTGTGGTGAGCATGTGCAAATTGTTGCCTCAGTTTCCTTTTCTTAGCAGACAGGAGTTGCTACAGCAGCATCTTCTGCTGTAGCCAATCTGTCTCAAGGTTCATTCTGTTGTGCGTGTAGAGATGCTCTTCTGCATACATCGGTTGTAACGAGTGTTTATTTGAGTTACTGTTGCAGTTCCATCAGCTCAAACCAGTCTGACCATTCTCCTCTGACCTTTGGCATCAACAAGGCATTTGTGCCCACAGAACTGCAGCTCACTGGATGTTTTCTGTAAAACCTAGAGATGGTTGTGCATGAAAATTCCCATAGATCAGCAGTCTCTGAAAAACTCAGACCAGCAAGCCTGGCACCAAATACCATACCATGTTCAAAATTCTCTTGAATCACTTTTCTTTCCCATTCTGATGCTTGGTTTGAACTGCAGCACATCGCCTTGGCCATGTCTACATGCCTAAATGCATTGAGTTTCTGCCATGTGATTTGACATTTACGCTAATGAATGGTTGAACAGGTGTACCTGATAAAGTGACTGGTGAGTGTATTGTTTCCTTGTCACGAATGTAAGGGCACATATTTGGATATGTACTCCTGAGATGCAACACAAAAGAAACAATATGAACCCTTACCTATATTTTAGCTGTAATCTGTTTATTCAGAAGCTTTATATCATGTAAACAAGAACTCAATTGCTCAATCAAAATGGCTGACTCTTAGATTACATGTATGGAATGTTCACTTATCCATACAGATGCAGATACACTGAGAGACAGAAAGGTTATGCTCTAAAGGCTCTAAAGGGGTTTCAATTTTGAACATGTATGACAAAAAAAAAAGAGGACAGGAACAAGACCCAGTTATGTCCCTGTCAGATGTATGGATCATTGGGTTGCATTTAGCTTTGTTGCCACCATGAACACTCTCATTATCATTTAGAATAACATTTTGCATATAGTGCAGAGCGTTGATGCAAAAGATGAAACCATATTGAGTCTGTTTTGTTTGGTACATAAAATGTACTCACAGTCAGTACAGAGAGTAGTTTACTGACACAGCAATGCAACACTTCAGGAGTAACTCGCAATGGAAACACTGTACATATCAAACGTGACTTAAAATTCAAATTTAAAACTACTTTATTAATCCCAAAAGCAAATAAATGTTTTAACTAATTAATTTAGACTCTTCAAAGACCCATTGAAGATGTTGATGGCTGTTGGCAGGAAAGATCTTCTGCAGTGGTCTGTGCTGCACTGAACCTGAAGAAGCCTCTGACTGAAGATGCTCTGCCTTCCCAAGACAGTTTCTTGAAGAGGATGGTCAGGGTTGTCCATACCCTTCTTGACTTTCTGAAGATTCATTCTTTGCATCATCGTCTCCAGAGGTTCCACAGTCGTCCCCAGAGCAGAACCAGCCTTCTTTATCAGACTGTTGAGCCTTTTTAGGTCCCTGGCTCTGATGCTGATCGATGAAGAGACAACACTCTCAACAACAGACGTACAGAAGATCTGCAGCATCTGGCTGCAGAACTTGAAGGATCTTAGCTTCCTCAAGAAGTCCAGTCTGCTCAGTCCCTTCTTATAGATGCTTCACTGTTGCGTCTCCAGTCCAAAGAAATTTGACTTCACTAAAGCCTTGAAATTGGGACTCTGTGTCTCCTTTAAAAAGTTTCTGCCCTTTCCGACAATTTGCCTTCAACATCTTTATAACTATGTTCTACCATCAAGCTTTTAACAACGATTCACAATAAAACTTTCTGACCAGCTTCAGCATTTTTACAAATCATTTTTTGTAAAATCAAATTTTACAAATCATTTTTTGTAAAAATGATTTGTAAAAATCATTTACAAATGATTTTTACATTTGTGTTGTCAAATCTTGTGATGTTGACAACACAAGATTGTCAACATCTTGTGTTGATGTTGACAATTATACATCCAGACAGGTTGCTTTCCTTTCCTCAATGGAATGCTGACTGAAAACTACAGTGGCATTTATACATGTGTTCTGCTGCACCATTATCCCTTCCTTGCGACACTCAGGTTTGTTTACCAATTCAGAATTGTCTTGAGAAATAAAAAGATTTGTTTAAGTATAAAAGACGCTTTAATGCTGAAAATAAACAAATGTTAAATGATATACAAATGTTACAGATACACAGTTACATTCACCATCCAGTGCTCACTTCACCACTCGGCTCACTTTAGGGGCGACAGCAAGTGAAGCAAAGTGTAGCAAGAGTTCTTCTTTAATTTTATCATTCTGCAGCCTAAGTTTTTGTTTATGTGTCACTATCTCCATTCTAATGTGTTATGTTTATGAAAGCATGCAGCAGTGTGTGTGTGTCCAAATAAAAGAAAAGGGGGAAAACACAGAATCATATAACACTTGCATGTAATTGTATGGAGTACTTTCACTGTACCCAAGGAGCTTTCTTCCTGCTATCTTCATTGATTTTTATATTTTTCCCAAGAATATCTCATTATTCTAATAATAAACAAAAATAAATAATTTGGCAATGCTAAATAACCAAAATCAGGAATATTTTTGTCCAGTTAAATGTCAGAAAGTGAGAAACATTTCTGGTGTCAGCTGTATCAACTGTACCTTAGCAACAGCACAAGCTTCTGCAAAATGAATTAATATTAAACTGTGCTCTTGTTGACTGCTTTACTGTTAGAAATCAAAGGAAAATAAGATCCGGTCTGCAGTAAATATTTGATCAACAAAAAAGTCTGCACTCTGCTTGCGTTGAGAGGTCCAAGAGATGACTGTCTTTTACTCATTATCAACCCTGTGTTGCTCAGACCGGAGTGGTTCTTCGATTGGACACACAGTTTCCCAGCAGTATGTCGGTGTTGTGAAGGGCTGCAGTGGTCAAGTCCTCAACCCCCAAGTCAACCTTATTCTTGTTTAGCGGTGAAGCTAAGGCATACAGCATAAATTCTGAGCCCATCGTCTTTGGGATAGGCAGACCAGCCACCATGGTGACTTTAGATTCAGCTGAGATGCTTGGCTCCTGGTCTCGTACTAGTGATGTTTGGTAACCATGGCAGGTTGAGTCTGCTGTGCTGTGATTGCTGCGGTAGCTGTAGCGTCTGCTGCGGTTGTAGTAGTAGCGGTTGCGGTATGATGAAGAGTTTCGGGAGACTGGAGGCTTCATGAGCGAGGGCCGGCCTTTGGTGCGAAGCTGCCTGTGCTTTTCTATAAATACATGTACGGCCAGGACGCCCACCATCTCGGCCAGCACAAAAGACAGAGCTCCAAAATAAAACGACCAACCGTAGGAGTAGCTCTTCTTATTGTCGCTCTGACTGGGGTCCCCAGAGTTGGCTGATATGTACACAATGATGCCAATGATGTTACTGAGACCTGTTCAGGGTGATAGAGGCAGAACAAGGCAATGAAATTTCTGGCAATGAAATTTTGAAAAATGTGGCAAACATTTTAGTTGACCTTGTTCTTTCACACTGATACACCTAAATAAAAAAACAGTACTACCAAGTGTCTTAAGAAGTCACAAATAGACTCTGTGAAGTCTTCAAAGGTTTGTTAGAGAACAAATATTTGTTACCAGCATCATTTAGAACAACCAACACAACAGACAGGTCAGGAAAACAGATGTGGGCAAGTTCAAAGGGACAGAATTGTGTTTTTTATAGCATATAGGTGTCATTTTATAGCATAATAAGTAGGTTAACTTCAGTTGTTACAGTAAAAAATCTATAAATATCAAATTAAAATCAATTTTAATTTGATATTTATAGAAATATAAATATTTCTATTAATTTAGCAATTTGAAACTAGGTCCCTGCCTCTCAAAAAACTCCTGTTTTTACGAAAGTCAGTTCATGAAGTCATCACAACATGGCTCCTTTACCAACCCTTTGAGAACATTTTTACCAGCGTTGCTCTGAGAATAGCCCCTGTGAGCTCAGCAGGTGCTCAGTTCCACCAGGATTTTTGCCAGCTAGTCTGAAGGAGCTGAGTGGGCGAGTTCTGGGACAGGACTGCTCTGTGAGGCAGAAGGTTAGTACAGTTTAACTTTACTTAATATTGTTTTGGAAACCGATTACATTATGTTTACTTAACATACTTACCTGAACACATTACAGTATACTTAGGAAAATCCTGGAAAACGTTTGCCTTAAATAAATTAACTAAATCAAATGAGCAGATTTTAACATAAAAATGTATACAAATTTGTTGCCTAATAAAAATCAAATTTACACAACTCAAAAATGTCAGTATGTATTCGCTGTGCATCAGATGTTCACCCAACGTGACTAACTTGATGGTTTTGAGTAAGTTGAAATGGCATACTAATTTAACTCTAGCATGCTGCTTCAAACAAGGGTGAAGCTGATGGTTTTTCATTCCTTTGGTGTTGTAATCCACATATCACCAGAATAAGAGCTGATATACAAATAGGATGTCTGTAACTAATAATTTGACAATGTTTCCATTCTTCTGTTACTTTAAATCTATGGTAAATAAACATTAACAAACAAAATATACATTAAAGGAAATACTTTTTACAATCAACACACCTTTGACTGGAGGGCCTGCCAGTATGAGATGATGTTTCTAGTTGCTCTGTGAAAACAAACTGCTCTACTAACTGTTGGCAAAGCTGCTCTAACTGCTGTACGTCACTAATTTGAGGGAAAACAAATCAACATTTATGCAACAGCACTAGGCAGAAAATGCTAAATCAGGAATTACAAGTATGCAGCTTTAATCAGAATTCTAAATTACTGGCAAAATAAAACGCATTCAAATTTGCTGCAATAAAAAACACTTATGGTTACATACAAATTCTAAACCCAATTAGTTTTCTTCATTTAAAAATAACATGCAAACTCAACTCAATTTTTTTTAAATGACACCAACTCAATGTTTTAGTTCTCATTAACTTGCTAAGTTTTAGGGAGTATCACTAAATAAATCACACAGATTCATTAAGTCACTTAAGGACCCAAAGCCAGTTTATTTAAAACTTGAAGTTACTTAAGTAGCTTACGAATTTTGTTTGTTCCTCTGTGGAAACATGACAGAACACATGGAAAGCACTAATAGTTTTCTCACTGTTTTTCAGTCAACCAACACAATCAATCCTATAACAGGGAGTGGTGGCCATGGAGACTAAAGGACTTGAAAGCTGTTGTTCACAGATGTTCTTCATATAATCTTGAGCTATTTTGCAACAAACAATAGACAAACCTTCACTGTATGTGTCAGTGGGTAGAGACATACCCCACAAGACTTGCTGCTGCTATTACAGAGAAAGGTGGTTGGAGAAAGCATTCACTCAATCAGACTGAACAGAAATGCATGCCACATTTTTCAAAATTTAATTGGAAAGAAAAAGAACATTCACAAATAAGAGTTTTGTTTCCCCTTCAATTCAATACTGTGAAGTTATACATCATTCTGCACTGACCTATCAAAGTTTATGGCTGTAATGTGACTTTGGTGACTTTGGTGTCAGGTAATGGCAAATTTGTTTTCTACAGCTTTTTGAGTGATGACTTTTTTGAGCTAGATATATAGAGAATTGGAGCACTAAAGGCAAGAAAGTAAACAGGAGCAGCTAGAACACACAAAACATTTTTGCTTTTACAGTTGATATCCATCCACAGTGGCAGCTCATTAGCCTTTTTATCTGTACTTTTTAAATAGTGTAGTTAGACAAAAAGGAACAACTGTATTTCCATGAAACTATGATTAGTGTCTGACCTGCAGAGACAAAGAGAATACCAGCTGTCAGAATGACATTGTAGCGAGACTTGTAGAACTCACTGGCAGCTACACACAAACCCCCAAGAAAAAGAAGTCCCACGCTGAGTATTGGGAAGAGGCTGGAGGCTCGAACTGCCCCTAAGTGAGAAATGTGAGGGTATTTAGAACATTTGTGTCATCCATTTGACCTGTCAGATCTCACTGTGAGATACACTCATCTGTAACTTACGTAGTAAATACTCTGCAGCATCCTGCTCGTAGTCTGCGTCATCAGGAAAGTGATCAATGTCTTTACAAACACCTCGAAATATCCCTGAAAAGAAAACAAAAAAAGACTGCATTTGTAATGAATACTCTCATGCATAGTGCCTGAGCCAACAGAAACCCTCATCATAGGAGGAGCTAATTGAACTGATTCTTGCCTAATTCTTAAGTTGCTAAGATCTAAGATTTTATGCAAGAGGGCCATTAAATCTGGAAAATGTGTGCCCAAAGTCGGTCCTCAAGGGCCAACATCCTGCATGTTTTAGATCTCTCCCTGGTAGTACCAACAACTTTTTCACCATGTCAATGTTCTTGTTAGGCTTCTAACAGGCCATCATTTGATCCAGGTGCGTTAAAGCAAGGAGAGACCTAAACATGCAGGATGCCGGCCATCCAGAACCCACTTTGAGACCGGGTTTGGGTACCCCTGGGGTAGAGGAAAAGTAAAAACAGGAACACCTACTTCAAGGTAGTAGGTTTCTTAGTTTGTAGAAACACTATCTGAAGTGGTCCACATCTCTGTGCAACAGAGATGTGATAGTACAATCAAGTTAATTGCTTCAATTACTGACAAGTAATTAAATTACATTTCTATAATTTAATTATGTATAACCATCTCAAGTTATTGTGCCTATCCAAGTCTATTTACTAAGTTTATCCAATTCAATATAATAGAACCATCTAACTCAATTCATTAAGTTTTTTTTAATTGAATTCATTAAGTGTGTTTAAAATGACAAATTTTCCTTCAAATAAAGAAGGAAATTAATATTGATCTCTTTTTTCATCAGGGTTTTGGCTGAGGCAGTCTTTCTTTGAGTAGTTAGACTCAAAGAAAGTCTAACTACTCATTCATTTGACCTGTCAGATGGAAAGTGGGTAATGAATGAGAGGGAAGACATGCAGCAAAGGTCATCATGCCAGAACTGAACCTGCAACAGCCACATTGAGGACTCCTTATGTCTGTTGTGCTCTACCCCTGCACCACCAGGAATTGGTTGGTACAGGATCTGTCCCTGGTGACGTTAGAGTGCACTCTCAAAAGTATATGACTCAAAGAAGTGTACCACACTTTCTAGAGAGCGTTCTAAAATCTCTGACATCATCGATGCCATCACATCATCACACCGATAGGAGGGGGAAGCAGTGCTTATGTGTTTATGTGTTTATGGGGAACACATAAACAGTGTTCACCAACACTGTTTATGGTGGGCATGCTGTGCTGCTGACCTCAAATCGGGCGTTGTGGGCCAGTGGGCAGAATACTTTGAAGACCTCCTCAATCCCACCAACATGCCTTCCACTGAGGAAGCTGAGCCTGAGGACTCTGGGTCGGGCTCTCCAATCTCTGGGATGAGGTCGCCGAAGTGATTAAGAAGCTCCACGGTGGCAGGGCCCCGGGGGGTGGATGAGATACATCCTGGGTTCCTTAAAGCTCTGGATGTTGTTGGCTGATGGCACTCTACAATCTTGTATGGACATCAGGGGCAGTTCCCCTGAATTGGCACCCTGTGGTGGTGGTCCCTCTGTTCAAAAAGGGGACGGGAAGGTATCTTCCAATTATAGGGGAGTTACATTCTTAAGCCTCCCTGGCAAGGTCCTGGAGAGGAGGGTCCGTCGGATTGTCAAACCTCGGATTCAGGAAGAGCAGTGTGGAACACTACTAGTGGAACACTAGACCAGCTTTACGCCCTAATCAGGGTCCTGGAGGGTGCATGGGAGTTCGCCCAAGTGGTCTACATGCGTTTTGTGAACTTGGAGAAGGTGTTCGACCGTGTCCCTCGGGGAGCCCTGGGGGGGGTTCTCCAGGAGTGTGGTGTACCAGGCCCTTTGACACGGGCTGTCAGGCCCCTGTATGACCGGTGTCTGGTCCGCATTGTCTTAAGTCGGGCTCGTTTCCGGTGAGAGCAGGGCTGCCCTTTATCCCCGATTCTGTTCATTACTTTCATGGACAGAATGCCTAGGCACAGTCAAGGTGTTGAGGGGATCCGTTTTGGTGGCCTTGGGATGGCATCTCTGCTTTTTGCAGATGATGTGGTCCTATTGGCTTCATCAGGACGTGATCTGCAGCTCTTGCTGGAGCGGTTCACAGCCGAGTGTGAAGCGGCTGGGAAGAGGATCAGTGCCTCCAAATCTAAGGCAATGATCTTGAGCTGGAAAAGTGTAGTGTGCCTTGTCCAGGTCGGGCAGGGTGTTCTGCCCCAAGTGAAGGAGTTCAAGTATCTTGGGATCTTATACACGAATGAGAGAAGAAGGTAGCGGGAGATTGACAGGCGGATTGGAGCAGCGTCTGCAGTGAAGCGGGCGCTGCACCCGTTCATTGTGTTGAAGAGAGAGCTGAGTCAAAAAGTGAAGCGCTTGATTTATTGGTCATCTATGTTCCCACCCTCATCTATGGTCATGAGCTTTGGGTCATGACCGAAAGAACGAGATCGCGGATACAAGCGGGCAAAATGGGTTTTCTCCGAAGGATGTCTGGACACTCCCTTAGAGATAGGGTGAGAAGCTCAGTCATCCGGGAGGGACTCAGTAGAGCCACTGCTCCTCCACATCGAGAGGAGCCAGTTGAGGCTCGGGCATCTGGTCAGGATGCCTCCTGGATGTTCTGGGCACTTCCCACTGGGAGGAGGCCCTGGGGAAGACCCAGGACACGCTGGAGGGACTATGTCTCCCGGCTGGCCTGGGAACGCCTCGGGATTCCCCTGGAGGAGCTGAAAGAAGTGGCTGGGGAGAGGGAAAACTGAAGCTGCTACCCCCGCGACTTGACTCCGGATAAGTGAAAGAAAGTGGATGGATGGTATTTGTGAACAAGCAGAGCTCAAACTCAAAGATGAAAGTCATAGCATCAGATTGTTGCTGTCGTAACAATTTGACTATGAATATTGTTCTTTGAACTTCTACAAAGTAACTTGTCAGCTCCTTAAAATCTTATATTTCAATGCTAAACAATTTAAAATATTTTACTTTATGTACATTGACATTAAATCAAACTTAGCAGCATTGGTAATCTCACTAAACAAATGTTACATTTATGCATCTGTGGTCTGTGTTAAAATATTAGCATTTATGGAGCCCCTGAAGCTGCTGACTTAATTTGGATTGAAACAGAAGTGAAAATAATATTCAATGTAATTATATTTTTTGATTTGTTGTTTTAAAGACTTGTTGTGGGTTTAAATAGAGTTTAACTGGAGATGTTTTCCTGTTAACATACAGTATAATTACCCTGTAATATTTTTACATTTCCTGCCTACTTATTTTTTAATACAAAAACACGGTGGACCTCTGGTGGACTGCCTCAGCGCCCCAACCACACGGCTTTGCAAGTTTTTTGGGGGGAAATCCTGCTATATCTTCCACAGTTTAGTAGCTCTGTCTGGACCCAAGAGCAGTGGAAAATCGATCTGCAGCAGTAATGCGATATCACATAACTACTTATACTTTGCAAAAGTGTGACAATCACAAGCAGCTGCACATACTAGTCTCTATCTATATAGATCTGTATTGCTGCATGTATCTAAATGGATAAATCTATATGTCTAGGTAGATAGAGATATCCATCTAGAACAGGGATGGCCAACCCGCGGCTCCTTGACCGGTTCCATGCGGCTCCTCCGTTCATATAGTCGCATTCTGCCAAGACGTGCAGTAATGACCAGAAGTAGTAGCTTTGGAGCTGACGTCACTGCGTGTGACGTTTACGTCGCTCGGCGCCATGTTGTTTGGCCACAGACCAAAGCAAACTTTTTCCGGTGTTTTTATCGCGTTGCCGCTGTATCCTCCTCTTCCATAATGCTGAAAAGCTGTTTGAACGAAGCTCTGTTGACAACAGCAGCACGCCGTTACGCCAAAACAACACAAACAAAAAACAATCTTTGTTTCTCTCGCAGCCTTAGTCTTTACTCCCTCCCCCTTCCCCTGCTCTCTCATCCATCCCGATGCATTCGCGGACAATGGGAAATCACACACTCCAATTTAAATTTCTAAACAGCGTAACATCCAATAACATTTAGGACCTGTATAATATCCAAGTTTCGCTTCGCTTGAGTTCAATACGGTATTTTCGTCAAATGCGCATGTGCGCAGTTTTTCAGTGAGATTAAAATTATTTGAGTAAAACTTTCGCGCTCAAAGTAGCAGGGAAAAAATGCACAGAAAAACGAAAATATGAAGATGAATACAGGACGTTTTTGACGGAGTGGGACAATTGATATTTTTTGTTGAACGTAGTGGAAAGCCATTCTGCCTTATGTGTCTTTGTCGCATTTTAAGGCTTCAAACCTTCAGCACCACTTCATTAAATAACACATGTAATGCACATAATAAAAGGAAAAATGTATTGTAAATTGTTCTATTATTGTTTGTTTATTTGGTTAAACAGAGTTTGTTTGCATGAGAAAGTGCACAGTGTTCATTGAAGTGTTTGTTGAAAATGTCTGGCCTGTGGTTTTTGCAGTGTTAAAATAGTGTGTGAAATTTACAAGAAATCTGGCTGAGCAAAAGTATGTGAGTATGAGGAAGGGATGGGTTGATGTTCATGTGTGCCCATGCATATGATGGTAAAAAATGTGGCTCTTGGTCTTTGTCTGGTTGGCCACCCCTGATCTAGAGTAATGTATGTACAGAGCTAGATAGTTGCAGCCTGTATTTATTTAGCTATCTTAACAGTGAATCACTAAAATTGTGGCAGTGGACAGATTTTTCATGTACCTTTTAAGCAAAATTAGAGATATGTTGAAAAATGAAAATAAACAAAAAAAATTGTGTTTTTAAAATAAATACTTTATTTCCAAAACTCAATATCATCATTCCTTTAGTGAACACTTGATCATTTGAAGAAAATGATACACCAGCAGCGAAAATAATTTGTTTACAAACATTTGAAAAGCTCATCTCTTTCTGCCTGCATGCAACTATTTCATCAAAAGACACAACAAGGAGGTAAATGTTCCTACTGCTAGCATTTTTTAAAGGGGTCCATCTGCTATTGTTTGTTAAATTTAAAAAAATATAACTGAATACTTTGTATTCGTATGTATGTACCTCATA